GTGCCCCGGGGGTGCGGCCGGGCGGTCGGGCCCCAGGCCTGTGGCCGTGGACATGAGCATGGGGTTGGTGCCCAGTGGGCACAGTTGGGGGGCAGGCCCCAGGCCCCTTGACCGAGCCCTCCCCTGAAACTGGAAAAGCAGAGTAAACATGGCTGACGCAGCTGCAGTGTGGTGAGAACGGGCCCGGCCTCTGCTCAGCCTTGCTTTTACCCCAGAGCTTGCCCGGAGCCCTCTAGGACATCCCTCCTGCTCTGGTTAGTCTGCTGGCCCCCCACGCGCCCCGCTCTTTCATGGCATCCCTGGCAGAGCGTGACTGGACCTCTGAGGGCAGGGTGTCTGACCATCCCAAGGCCACCGCTCCCAGCCTGAAAGGAGCTCATGCGGGTTCGTCACACTCAGCCCCGCGCGCACCCACCCCACCTCCTCGACCTCACCTAGCCTCCTCTCGGGCCTTGCAGCGCACCCTCTCCCTGCACGGTGCAGCTGGTCGTCAGCAAGGGCTGCCTCAGTTTGTGAAAAGGTGTTTCCCGGGAACTCCCACCCACGGCCGACGGCCATTTCCACCGGCACGGATCCCGGAGCCGAAGCCTAGGACCAGGGGTACTTTCAGAGGCCACAGACATGTCTGATTTCTCCTAAGACAGAAGAAGGAGGCCAGACAGTGGCACGCCGGGGTCCAAACCCACAGGGGGTCACGTGGCATAGTCTGCTCTGAGCTCGCAGTAAAGTGAGGCGGGGAGGCAGCCTGGGGAGTGGCGGCCATCGGCTGGGAGCCTGGGACTGGCCAGGGAGAGACAGCAGTGGTCAGCACGACCTCCACAGGAGACACCCAGGCCTGGGGGACGGCCGTTTACTGAAACAGTTGCTCGGGAGGATGGAGATCTCGAGGGCATCGGGCTTTGCACGCACTCGTGACATTTGTTTGGAGGTGTGAGTGACCCAACAGCTGTGAAAATGTACGTAACTGTCACTAGCACGTGTAATGACACCTCTCTGACCCACGAGCGGCACAGAGAGCGAAGGCCTCCGCCACGCCCAGCTCCCGGGGAGGGCCGTGTCTTCGGAGAGCGCCACGACTCACCTCTCTGTCCCGGCTCCTAGCCTTAGAAGTGTGACGTTTGCTAGGCCACCTTCCTCAGCTCCCCCTGCAGCTAGGTATGGCACCTGGCACAGGCTGGCAGAAGGGCCTGGGGTAAAACCTTTTCCAGGGAGGAGTCCTCTGGGCCCCTTCTCCCCCTGCTGGCGGGAAGGGGTACTGCATGGCGTGTCGACCGGAGTGAGCAGGCCCACCCCAAGGAAGGCCAAGCATCCGGGTGACAGGGACCCTCAGACGGGAAGACCCTGGAGGAGGCTGAGCCAGAGGGAACAGAACCACCTACAGCCCCAGACTCCCTACTCCAGAGGGCCCTGGGAACCAATGAGTGACCGCTATCTTCTGGTGACTGTCACTTGGGTTCCCCGCACAGCTGCCCGCCCACATCCTGCCCCCCGGGGGTCTGGCAGCCAGTCCCTCTGGCTTCATCCAAAACGATGTCTCCCAGACTCTGCCTTCCTGGACCACCGCGTGGCCTTGGCCACGTCCCTGTCTCACTGCTCATGACTGCTCTAAGACTGACTTACAACCTCATGTAAACACTCTGATTTGAAACCAAATTCGAGGTTGCCACGGGAGAGGGAGCCCCGTCTTGCTAGCCGTGGAAGGTTATTCTACCAGGACAGACAGTAAGGGGGGCCACGTCGGCACCGGCTGCGAGGCTCTGAGACTAACGCCTGCTCCCTCTTAAAAAGCCAGCAGTGGGGACCAGCAGATGGCAGAACAGTGATGTCGCTGGACTCCCATGTAGTCAACCTCAGTTTGAGTCCTGGACCTGGCGGCTTAAAGCTCACACCTGGCACGTGTGTGTGCGTGCCCAAGATCCGAGAGAGAATGGAGAAGGGATTGCAGCGTGGCCATCCCCTCTGGGGGCGATTTCCCGCTTTCCATCCCTCTGTCTCTGTCTCTCTGGCAAGAGCATGCACCCTATAGCAAAAATCTCTCCCTCCCCCCCAAAAAAGCCAACAATGGTGACACGACAGTGACAGGGTGATGACACAGTGTCGACACAAATGTCTGTGTGCTGGACTCAGGTGCCGGCTTCACCCCCAGGAGTATCCCGTACGTGCCCACGACCTAGGCTCACCGGGCTGGTGTGAAGGCCCACTGGAGGAGCCTGCCTCTCCCTCCCTCCCTCTCTTGTGGAAGAAACAAATGCATACATTCTTTTAAAAAGAAAACAAACATTCCCAAGTGGGATGGTGGAGGTAGAAGAGCGAGATTAGCAAGCATGGGAAGGGCGAGGGGATATTGTCTTCTGGGAGGTCTGAGCGACGAGGGGGAGGCGTGGGGCCTCTGGAGGGGTGGTGCTCCGTGAGGTGTGTCTCCCTGGGGTGCGTCTCACACCGGGAGGATATGTTTAAATGAGGAGGAGGAAAGAGAACTCTGGAGCCAGATAAGCTCCCTCCGGCCACCTCTGCCCTGCAACGACTGAGGAGCTGCAGGACCAGCGAGCCAAGTGTCTGCGGGGCTTCAGGGAAGCGGAGGCTTGCCAGGTGCCAGGACAGGGACCACAACTCACCCAGTGGCAGGTCCTCGGGCAGGGTCACTAACGTCATGTTGTTCAGGAATTTCGGGGGCACGTTGGCGGCCACTGTAGGACACAGCACACAGAGACATCTAGACACCCGCAGAGCCGGAGCCCCCGCCTCCCCGTCCCTGGGAGCCCACACTGCCCTCCTGTGACCTTTCCCAGCTCAGCCACCTCCCCTGGTGTCCCTTCCTCCCCAGGGCAGCCGGGCCCAGCGGCCGAGGGGCTGGGAGTCTGCTGATGAGTGAGGGAGGGTCCCCAGGTAGTGCTGCTACCATGGGGACGGGGAGGCACCCACCGGACACCACGAGGGCAGCAAGCAGGAAGCAGGACAGCCATGGCCTGGCCATCACACCCGGAGGGACCTAGGGAAAGCAGTGTCAGGAGAGGGTGCCAGGACCAGCCTCCGTCTTTCAGGCAGACCGCCATCGGCCTGGGGCTGACCCCGCCTCTCCGTAGTTCTCCCCAGGACCCCTACCACCCAGATGGTTCCAGATAGGGGAAGCCGGGCATGGGCAGGACAGCTGAACCTGTGCTTGACCCAGGCCTCGGCGCCCGCTGTGTTGTCCTGACTCTGTCCCGAGCACACAGAGGTGTGAGCTCAGGATCCCTCCAACTACAGACGCCTGTTCAGAAACCAAGGCTGGGACCATCGGGGGCATTGTGCTGACGGCGCTGGACTCCCACGTAGTCAACCATGGTTCGAGTTCCAGACCCAGTGGCTTAAAGCTCACACCAGGCATGCGTGTGCCCAAACTCCTGAGAGAATGGAGACAGGATTGCAGTGTGGCCATCCCCCATGAGGGTGATCTCTCATGTTCTGTCTCTCTGTCTCTCTGGTGAGTACACTCACCCTACAGCAAAATTCAGTCTACCAAGGTAGGGGGCCAGCAGGTGGCATAGTGGCCAAGGCACTGGACTCCCACATGGCTGATTGCGATTTGAGTCCCGGATCCAGCAGCTCGAAAAATCATGCCAAGCATGGACGTGTGTGTGTGTGTGTGTGTGTGTGTGTGTGTGTACCCAAAATCCCAAGAAGGGATACAGTGTGACCATCCCCCTGGTGGGTGATTTCTCCCTTTTCCTCTCTCTGTCTCTCTCCAGCAAGCACTCATGCCCTATGGCAAAATAAACGCTTTTTGTTTTGGAGAGGTTTTTGCTATAGGGCGCATGTGCTCGCCAGAAAGACAGAGACAGACAGAAAGTGAGAAATCACCCCCCAGGGGGGATAGTCACTCCGCAATTCCTTCTCCTCCATTCTCCTCTTGGGATCTTGGGCACACACGCACACACGTCTGGCATGAGTTTAAGCCCCCGGGTCCAGGACTCAAACCACAATCGACTACGTGGGAGTCCAGCAACATAGCCATTACGCCATCTGCTGGTCCCAGAAAAAAAAATTAAAATAAATAAAAGAGGGTCCAGCAGGTAGCATGGTGGTTGGGGCACTGGACTCCCACATGGCCAACCATGGTTCAAGTCCTGGACCCGGCAGCTCACTTTCTCACTTCCCCTTTCTCTCACTCTGTCTTTCTCTGGCCAGATTAAAATACAATAATAACAAAGTTAAATGGCTAAATAATTCTCTAACAAATAGATAAAGAAAAGAAAGAAAAAAACGGAGTCTGGGGCCAGCAGGTGGCATGGTGGTTAAGATAATTAGATCCCACGTGGCCAATAGCATGGTTTGAGTCCTGGGCCCGGCAGTTTGAAAAACACGCCAGCATGTTGGTGTGCCCAAGATTCCAACAGGAGGGAGAGGTGGAGAAGGGACTGGAGTGTAACCATCCCCTGGGGGTGGTGCTTCCTCACTCTCCCTCTCTGTCTCTGTGAAACTTAAAAGAAGAAAAAGAAAAAAGAAAGAAATAGGCTGAGAGACGGCGAGGTTATCTGAAGCCACACAGAGAACCCATGACAAACCCAGGCTCGCCGCCTCTTGGACTCCAGCTCCTTCCAGGCCACCACTAAGGGCGGCAAGTGGGGAGGGCGCAGGGCGGGTCTCGCAGCTCACTGGTGCCGCACTGTCAGTGCTTGGCAAAGGCAAGTCCCCTCCTCCTACATCTCGCAGGGCACCTTTGCTGACGGTCACATCACTGCAGGCTCATGAGAACGGCTGTCATCGCCCCTCGCCCGTTGTCACCCTGGCTGGACAGTGAGCTGAGCAGGGCAGAGCTGCAGGGTCACCACCTGCTGCGTGACCCTGGCCAGGGCCCTCGGAGAGGGGCTGTGAAAGCTGCTGGCTTGCCAAGGCCCCCGGAGGGGATAGCTGGGAGCCCACGTCCTGGGTGGTGAGGCCACACAGGCCGGACAGGAAATGCAGGGACATAACTGCTCGGGAGGAAGTAAGAGGACCTCGGTCCTCAGCACCGACCACAGGGCTGAGCCACAGCTTGGCGAGACAGCGATCACGCGTGAACGTAACAGTGCCGGTGGGGTGTTGGCCCTCGCCCGGCGTCGACCCAGGGGTAAGGTGTCCTGAAGCTGGAGGTGGGTCGTGTGGAGAGACCACAGCAGGAGAGACCACAGCGGGGACAGAAGCGAGGACAGCGTGGCAATAGGGCTGGGATGAACATGCCGGAAACGCAGGTGAAGGTGGAGGTGGAGACAGGTGGAGACGGAGTTGAGCTGATGATTATGGGATGGGGCTGACGGTGGGCTGGTGGTGGAGGTGCCGGGGGCGATGGGGGCTGTGAGCTGACCCAGAGGTGCAGACGCAGCTGGGCATCAGGGAAGACGGCAGGTTGCTGGTACCCACTGCGAGGAGCGGTGCCCAGGGACAGTTCCTTGGACGCTCCTGGGGCTCATCTACCCCTGGCGTTGCCCTAGCGCCATCATCTTGACTCCCCTCTCCTGGATTGCTCTCTGTTCTCGTCCTTTAGAAGTGAGTCAACCGCCACCGGACGGTGAGTCACTGGGCGTGCAGCCGGCAGGTGAGCAAGGGGGAGGCATCACCTTACAGAGCTTTCAACCCAGCTCGCAGGACGCGGTCCTGCCCTGGGAGCCCTCCACCCTTCCCTGGCCGACAGGCCACGTGCTGGGCCGGCCTTTGCACCCATTCCCGTGTAGCCCTCAGCACATGTGGTCCAGGAGAGGGGCGGCCCCATCAGTGGCGGGTCGGGATCCTGGGCCAGGTACTCTGTCCTCTCTCACTCACCTTCCCAGGCTTCTGGGTTCCTCTTCCTGGTCTGCTGGATTTTCCCACAGGCCTTGCTGAGGCCCCGGCAGGGGAGGTTGAGGCAGAACAGCCTGGACGAGGACCTGCGTTCTCCAGGCCCCTGGAGGCCCCACCGACAGCCCCTTCCTACACTCGCCTACACGCCAGTCCTGGAAGTTCTCCCAACTCCCTGTCACATTCTCCCGAGACCCCTGGCCCGACTCCGACCGACAGTGACAGCTTGTCCCCTCTGCGTAGGTGACGTGCAGTCTTTGCACCTAGCTGTCCTCACCACGTCTCTGGAAGGGAGTGATGACTCCCCAGTCCTGTGTTTGTGGGGACCTAGGACTCAGGGAGGCTAAGAGGCTGCGCTCTGGGGCAGAGCTGGGAAGCCGCCCTGCCTCCCGCTACTGCTCCGTCTCACTCCTCCTGCTTCTCCCTGCGCCGCCTGGGTTGGCCCTGGGTTGGCCCTGGGTTGGCCCTGGGTCTGCCCTGGGTTCCCGTAGGCCTCCCTCTTTGTCATGGGCCCTGTTCACAGCCGTGCTCGTCTGATCATGGTGGGGCGGCCCTACATCTGAGCACCGTCCTCAGGTCCAGGTTCTTGAGAAAGTTGGACAGCGCCTCACGAGGGGGACAAGGCAGAGCCACCATTGCTGATCTCCCACCTCGAGGGCACGGTCAGCCCCCAGCTCAGACCTCCCAGGGCTCCCACTGGCTGCAGGACACACTACCTGACGCTCTGCTGACAGCCAGGTCCTCGCAGGTCCTGGGCCTCACTTTCTGCACAAACCGTCCCTCCCCACAAGCCGTCCCTCCCTCCCTGTGGTGCGGAGGCTGCTGGACCAGCACCCGGCCTCCCCTTCCTGACTTTCACACACCCCCTCGCCTCCTGCGTGTGCGAGCTCTCCCCACCCTTAAAGGCCCAGGTCAGGTGCACAGCCCTGTCCAGGCAGGTAGTGGCCTTCCTCTGGGCCCCTGGGTTCATGGTACCCCTGCCAAGGGCCAGCACAAGGCGCTGAAAGGAACATCGTCGTCCTTTGGCTGCGACCAGGGGTCCGTTCCCAGCACCTGTTTCACTGCAGAGCGGCCCCCAGGCTGTCTGCTCCTGAGAACCGAGCACAGCGCAGCCCGCCCCTGGGACCCCGACTCTTGTTCTTTCCCCGCTACAAACAGTGCTTGGGGAAAGGTCAGAGGGCAGAGGAGCCAGCGTGGTACCATGGGGAGAAAGTAACCCACGCCGAAGGTCGCAGGTAGGCTCCCTGGCAGCCTGTCCGCCACGGAGCGCCCCCACAAGCGGGCGGGCTGGGAGGACGCGGTGGCGGCAGAGACCTGCTGACAACGCTTGCTCTCCCCTTTTCTTTTTTTTTTTAAGCTTTTGTCATAGGCTGCACACGCTTGCCAGAGAGAGACAGAGACAGAGAGAGAGAGGAGTGAGAAATCACCCACTCGGGGGTGGCCATGCCGCAATTCCTTTCCCATTCTCTTCTCAGGATCTTGGGAACACACATACACGTGTCCAGCGTGTTTTATAAGCCGCAGGTCCACACGGCTGCCTTTTCCCTCAGGGCTCAAACCGCAGTTGGCCATGTGGGCCCATCTGCTTTAACCCCCGCCACCAGCCAGCCCCAGCTGTGCTTGCTTTTCGATCTCTCTAAAGAAAGAAAGAAACATTTTTCAAAAATTCCTCTTTCAAAAATAAAGGACAGAGAGGGACCAGCAGTTAGCATAATGGCTATGTCGCTGGACTCCCATGTAGCTAACTGTGGTTCGAGTCCTGGACCCGGTGGCTTAAACTCACGTCGGGTGCATGTGCATGTGTGCCCAAGATCCCGAGAGGAGCATGGAGGAGAAGGGATTGTGGCATGGCCATCCCCCCTGGGGGGTGATTTCTCGCTTTCTGTCTCTGTGTCTCTCTCTGTCTGGAGAGCACACGCACCCTATAGCAGAAACCTCTCCAAAAATAATAATAAATAAATAAAGGACAGAGAGGGAAGCACTGGGGTGGTCTGGGCCCTGCCCTGGAGAGGGCAGCCCCGGGTGAGCCCTCTGGTCCCGCTCCTCCACCCCGGCCGGGAGGGGCCGCAGCCGCAGCGTGGGACCCTTCTGGACTCCAAGGCTTTACAGAACTCGGCGTCAGCAGGAGTGACCAGGAGTGAGGAGCCCAGGCCTGGCCAGGGCCAGAGAGGGCCAGAGAGGGAGTACGTCCTCCAGGCTGCCCTGCCCACCCCAGGCCCGGCCCGCACCCTGCCTTCACTCCCTTTCCCTGCTCTGCTCACGCCTGCATCACACCCTGTTGGGTCACTGGTGTCACGTCTTGCTCATACCATCTCATGCCTCGTGTCAGCGTATCATCTCACGCTGAGGAGACGGGGCTCAGAGAGGCCGGGGAGGGGTGCTGAGATCTCGGGCCGCAAGTCGGATGCAGACTGTCCCCAGGCCCAGGTCCACTCAACTCTCACCCCAGGACACTCCAGCCCAGCCAGGGAGCCTGAGGATGGGCCCTGAAGGTTGGGCGCCCCGCCGTGGGGCCCTGTGGGGCCCATCCCTCAGGCTGCTTTGTCCAGAGACAGACTTGGAGTCAAGGGTGCATTCACCCGCTCGTGCAACCTCAGAGCAGCCCTATCCGCTCGCTGGGCCTCAGTTTCCCCTGCCGGGAAATGGGGCAAGGGTAAGAACCACAGATGCCCTGCATCACAGCCTAGCTCCCTCGGTCAGAGTCCGTGTTCGCACACCCCGACCTCCTGGTGCCCCCCCACCAGGGATGCGGCCTGGCCTCCACCATCCACTGAGCCTCCACCTCGCATCCCAAGGCCAGAGCTGTGCTAGGCCGGCCTGCGGTCAGTCCCACTGACACTTCCTGGTTCTGGGCCGGGGCGGGGTATGGGGGCACCTCCACCCAAGGGCTCTCCGGGCTCCCGCCGGCACTGTTTTCATCCCCACTCTGAGGCCCAGAACAGTTAGCATCCCACCCAGAGTGGAGGGAGCCGGGGTCTGAGCCGCAGCTGGGCTGGAGCTCAGCTCTTCCCCTCCAGCTCTGGAGCTCCTAGGCTCGCCGCCCACCCAGTCCTCAGCAGGGCCCAGAGGCCCTCACTTCTCCCCAGGCCACCTGTGCCCTGGAGAACCCTCAGTGGGCCACACTGACAAGGGGAAGGGGGAGGGCGGTCAGCCCTGGGAAGCTGGGGCCACTCTCCCCACTTTACAGAAAAACAGGCCCCGCCGGCTGCGGTT